GAGTGCATAAATGGTTGAATTCATTTGCAATGGATGCTCAGAGTTCAGTTCTGATACAGTATATTCTTCATTTGCAGGTTAAAGAACGTGGTTTCACTCGAGTGCACTCCCTCAACAATGTTAACAGGGCCCTGCAGATCCTTCAGAAGAACAATGTGAGTTAATTGGTTCAACTGGCTGTTTTACTGTTCACAGCTTTTGGAATTTCAATGTTTCGGTTGAGCTTTTTTAATAAATGCAAGACAAAATTATGCAGAAGCAAAATTTCCAGTTTGATAAGGTAATGGTACTTATCCATTTCACAGACATAAAAGCATTTTATGCTTGATAAAATGTAGTGAAACAACCAGACAGCTTGAATATGTGTTTGAAGAACCAAATAAAAGCCAAGTAAGATCGCAAATTATACAGATTGGTTGAAGTCATTTTCCCGCAAATATCAAACTGCTGATATCTAAAACTGACGTGGCTGAAGTATGTAATCTTTATCTTGTTTAAAGTCAACTTATAATCAAAACTGACCCTGTTTACTGTCTTAATACAAAATCCTGGTCGTATTATGTGCAATGAAGGGTCTTACGTCCCATCCGCTCCATTTCTAGGTTGAGCTGGTGAACATTGGAGGAGCTGACATTGTAGATGGCAATCATAAACTGACCCTGGGGCTCATCTGGAGCATCATTCTCCACTGGCAGGTATGAGAGTTCAATCCAGTGAAATCAGACCCACAATCTTTCTGGTTTGCCTTCAAGGACAGTAGAGCACTAAAGGACCTTTATCATCCATTATGTTATTCTATCAAAGGTTTTATATGTAGCACATTTGCAGTGGACTGTCATGTGCTTATCTGTACAGGAACTCGTTTCCTCTGTTTTTTCTGCTCATCTGATAAGGTGGCCCTACTGTGGTTTATGTTCAGAGCTACTGATGTCATCTTCTTTCAGCTTATGTTGGCGGTAGTTAAAGGAATAAGGGCATTTAAGACTCAGTCTGTAACGTTTCTGCATTGAGATTCATTCAAAAAATGTGACGGATTAGTTACTATCATATTCATTTAACATGGAATTTACATCATACTCCTAGATATTTTTAAGTTTGCCATGGTGTTATAATGTTACATAATGGAAATCTTTATACACTGTTAAAAATGTTGGGGTCATTAAGATTTATTTAAAATAAATTAATATTTTATTCAGCAAGGATGCATTACATTGATCAAAAGTGACTGTAAAGACATTTATGATATTGGAAATATTTATATTTTATATAAATGCTGTTCTTTTGAACATTCTATTTATCAAATAATCCTGAAAAATATATTTTTTAGGTTTTAAACATTGTTAATGATCAGAAATGTTTATTGAGCATCAAATCAGCATATTATAGTGATTTCTGAAGGATCATGTGACACTGAAGACTGGAGTAATAGCTTTGCCGTTACAGGAATAAACTACATTTTAAAATATATTTCAAATAGAAAACAGTTATTTTATATTGTAATAATATTTCTATTAATAATGATTTTATTGTATGTTTGATCAAATAAAGGGGCTTCTTTCAAAACTCGTACAGAACCCAAACGTTTGAATGGCAATATATTACCACATTCTTGTACCTGGTATTTACTCCTAGGCATTTCAAAGAATCTCATGGTATTACTTTGGTTCACATTCAACCAGGATATTACCCTTGTACATGCAGTATATGTACCATGTACTGAGTGTTATCACATATTTTTGTTGTGCTTATCCTCTTAATAAAATTGTAATCATAAAATCTGTCTGTAAATATTAGCTTTATGAGGCCTTGTTGTTATATTTGTCACTGTTCTGATAAATGTGTATATATCCTGTCCTTTGCCGTACAGGTTAAGGATGTGATGAAAGATGTCATGGCAGACCTACAGCAGACAAACAGTGAAAAGATTCTGTTAAGTTGGGTCAGGCAGTCTACTAAAAACTACAAAGACCTCAATGTGGTCAACTTCTCCAGCAGCTGGGCCGATGGTTTTGCCTTCAATGCGCTCATTCACAGCCACAGGTGTGTGGGGTTGTTATTTTTGGGTGCTTTTTTGAAAATCACAGAAATCGTTGGTTTCACGACTAATGAAATTGAAAATGAATGTCTTCTATTCATTGGTCATAAACTGCATGGTTGAATACTGGCTTGGCCTAAAGCTATTTTTGAAGCTGATTATGGCTTATTGTTTTTCTATTTTTCTGTGTAGTACATTTGGGTAATGAACCAGCTGTTTCGATCTGCTTTTAGCTATTTCAAGCATGTGCACGGAAAAATAATTTATGTTATTAACTATCCTATATTAATTACATCATCCGCTTTGTCTTTTTTGCCAGGCCGGAGCTGTTTAACTGGAGTGTGGTGGAGCAACAGGATAATGCCATTGAGAGACTGGATCACGCCTTCAACGTTGCAGAGAAGAGTTTAGGCATCGACCGACTGTTGGACCCTGAGGGTATGACCTTCTCCTTTCTTCTTCACGCTCACATTAGCCTTTGAAGTTTTTCTGACTAATACAGACAGGGCTTTTTTAGTTTAGTTTTTTGGATGGGAGGAAACGTCTTGTTACATCAACATCTAAAACAGAATTTCATCACATAATTTATGCCATGGGGGTTTTTACCACTTATGACTGGTTCTCTATGGACAGATCCAAAGGAAAGCGATCTAATATACAGTATATGCATGATGTTTCTTTCCTACGCATAAATCCATAAAGAACATGTATAGATATATAATTTAAATAAAAGTTATATGATCACTGCCGTTCAAAAGTTTGGGGTTTTTTGAAAAAAATTCTTTCATGTAGATAATAATAAGAAATGTTTATTAGCATATTAGAATGATTTCTGAAGGATCGTGTGACACTGAAGACTGGTGTAATGATGCTGAAAATTGAGCTTTGCCATCACAAGAATAAATTACATTTTAAAATAGAAAGCAGTTATTTTAAATTGTAAGAATATTTCACAATATTGCTGTTTTTACTGTATTTTTGATCAAATAAATGCAACCTTGGTGAGCCTAAGAGATTTCTTTCAAAACATTTCAAAACATTGTATCAATCCTAAACTTAGTATTACACTTACAACATTCTTTTAAATACAAAGCAATGTTTGCAGGGATCTTCTGCTTCTCACATTCATCTAAGACTCTAATAATCTCACATATGTCTCCTCTAGGAGTTAGATTAATTAAGTCAATTAAGTCATTGCTTAACTCATGGGCATATCTTTTCGCCATCACAGATGTTGCTACAGCTCATCCAGATAAGAAATCCATCATTATGTACGTCACCTCCCTGTTCCAAGTGCTGCCCCATGGCGTGAGCATGGAGGCCATCCAAGAGGTGGAGACCCTCCCTCGAGCTACAGTAACCAAGGAGGAGCACTTGCTCTTTCAAACCCAACAGCGTTACTCCCAGCAGGTCAGAGGAACACACACTCATAGACGCACAGTTTTGAACAGTGTGCAGTAATCGTAATGCATGGACCCATTATCTCTGGCGCCACATACGTCTAATATGAGAGCCTGAGACTTCTCTGGTTTCAAAAAGTTTTCAGACGCTCTCAGGATGTCGAATGCACCTCTATCTCGTCAACACACTCTGCCAGCTGACACTGAATTATGTTTTGTAATTTGTGATCTAATTTTGCCTCTCTGCATTCCAATGTCCTCATCGTCCTTCTCACTGCCATATCCAGCTCATTGCTCCATCACTCAGCTCTCCTCAATATTTCCATCCATTTTTTGTTTGCTTATTTCAGTCTTTCTTGTCTTCTGTACCTCTCTTAGATCACAGTCAGTGTGGCCCAGAGTCGTGTCCGCAGCCCGTCTCCCTCCTATAAGCCTCGATTCAAAAGCTATGCCTTCACTCAAGCTGCCTACGTCAAGACGCCTGAACAGCAGAAGTTCCTCACCACACAGGTTGGTCATTGTTGACTGCTGGTTTTCCATATCATTGCCAGGCATTGCAATTTGTTTTTAGTGTACAACAACCTCAGACTGATATCAGTGCTGTCACGCTTTAAAAAAGCTTGTTCCAAATGTATTATATTGGCCTGGCAGACAGCAAAACTGACAAAAAAAAATGCCATAGATTTGCAATGAGGAAGGGACCTGAGGGATGTTTCAAAGACTTGGGTGTGGGCTTTTTTGACTTTAAGTATGGAACCGTCCAGAACAACTGCACAGCACACACAGCACAACACACAAAAAACTAGCATTGTGAGCACCACTCACATTTTCTTATGTGATGTAATCTTATTATTATGTAATAATCTACTTTATTATGTAGTATTTAAAAATACAAACATTGAATATATGACATTGTGTGTTCCTGAGATACTTTTATCTACATAAGGCATCTCTGTTTGACCAACTTCCTGTTTTAACAACCAGTCTAGTTGATGGAAAGCTGCCACAATTTTACATTTTTAGAAGAAAATTTGAGTAGTGCTTCTGAAAACAGTGTTGTTATTTTTAACTTAAACTAAAGCCATTAAAATTGAGCATCGCTTTAGTTCAGGCAGGCCACATCAGTCAAACTTACATCAGCTGACAGTCAGCTGTTTCTGACATGTACCAATCCAGTTTTGACACCTATCACAGTGGTCTATTTAAATCCCCATTCAGCCTGGTTGCACACCACATCTAACTCCCCCTCTATCATCAAATCAGCTTGAACCTGTATTATAATCTGATATCTGTTTGCGATTTTTTTTTTTCAGCTTTACGGTAAATTACATTGTATTTTGCCCTGTTTACAACAAACTCATGTTAAACTGTGAACTGTAATATGTGTGCATGATTACTGGATCTGTTCTGTTACCCCAGGGGGGTTTGACTTGCTGCTCTCCCTACTCTGTCCAGGCATGGCTGCATGGACAGGCGCGTGGACTTTGCCCAGAGCAGAACCATACCGCCAACACTAATTGTATGCATCATTATTATAATAAATATACATTTGACAAAAGTGGTCTTGACTGAATTTATATTTGGAGATTGAAATAAAGCTGAAAAAAATACATGTAAATAAAAACTTAACTGTAAAAAAAACTGAAAATATGACAATAAAAGGTCATTCAAAATATTAATAAATAGTATATAAATAATACTAAAATAACACTGTTGTAAAACTCTAGGGTGTTGCGGGTGGCTGCCAAAACCTTGCTATGTGGTTGCGAAAGTATTCTGAGTGTTTTTTAACATGTTGTTGTGGGTAGTTTCTGGGTGGTTAGTCACCCTAAAGATATTTTGGTCCCCAAGATATGCTTGAGTCATATGGTCTCTTGTGGTCTCTTCTTTACTGTCAGTTTGTGGGATTTTTTTGCCTGGTCGGTCAGATGAAAATTGTAGGCTGAAGGTTGCTTAGAAAAACCTCTGTGTGATTTGAGGTTTTATTGTCCACGGCGCAAATGGTATGACAAGTTATACACCGAATTTGAATACTTATGGTTAGGTATTTGTACCATAAGCACCACTAATAAACCTTGTGCTAAATCATAACTCAACACCATGAGGCCCCTCACAATCTTCAAATTCAATCTGAAAACACCCTGATATTATCAGTCAGCCAGTGCATTTCACTCAAGCACATAGGAGGACAGAGGGTATTTCCCAAAGCAGGAAAAGAAAATTAGAAGGCTAACTTTAAAGATCACCCAGCTTTTGAGGATGAAAC